GGGGGGGCCGTGGGCCCGGAGCCCGGGATCATATATGGTCCCGGGCTCCGGGCCCACGGGCCCCCCCCCCCCCACATGGTATGGTCCCAGGATTCATCGGGCCCCCCCCCCCCAGATGGTATGGTCCCAGAGACGACGACGACGACGACGACGACGACGACGACGACGACGACGACGACGACGACGCGACGCGACGCGACGACGACGCGACGGCGACGGCGACGACGCGACGACGACGCGACGGCGACGGCGACGGCGACGGCGACGGCGACGACTACGACGACGGCGACGACGACGACGACGACGACCGACGACGACGACGACGGCTGCGGCGGCGACGACGCCGGCGGCGGCGGACGACGACGATGACGACGATGACGACGGCGACGACGACGATGACGACGACGACGATGACGACGACGACGACGACGACGAGGACGACGAGGACGACGACGACGACGACGACGACGACGACGACGACCTCTGAACCACCACAGCACCACACCACATCCACAGGGGGGGGAGGGGGGCACCGCAGCGCAGCACCACGCCACGCCCACCTCTGAACCACCACAGCACCACACCACATCCACAGGGGGAGGGGGGGGGGGGCACCGCAGCGCAGCACCACGCCACGCCCACAGGGGGGGGCGGGGGGGACCGTCGCGCGGGGGGAGGGGGGGCCGAATGGCATCAGCATTGGGGGGGGGCCCAAGCCCTGGACCACATATATTTATATTTATATATATATATATATGTATACACACATATACACACCCCGTAAAGGTGAGGAGTTGCGTTGGTATCGTGGCCTGCATCTGCGGATTGCAGCCCTGAGCGTGCAGTCTGCGACAAGAGAAAACAACATACCGATACTTCGATTGCATTATCCAGAACGTAGTTGTCGGGGCCTTAATGGAGCAATCGGGCATCGCATAGCATAGGTATTGCATAGCAGTGGATTTCATAGCATTGGCATAGTCTCAATGTCATTGCCATGGTGCGTGCACTCAAACATTGCCAAACATAAGGACACCAGCGTCACCCGTCATATCAAATATCATCTACGCCCTGAAAGGCATCATGGCTCCTCTGACTGCGGGGCGGTATCCCCCAGGTAGGAAGACCCCGGGGGGAGGGGCAACAATGAGGGATAATGGTGAAAGAAGGGAAGGAGGGCGTCTGAAAAATGCCCGAGGCCGCCTTGAAGCCCTCTTGGGCTGTATTGGACCCCTTTGGGCGCGACGAATGGGACAAACACGAGGAGAGAGGTGGAGGTGATAATGATAATGAGATTAGCAATAAGAAGGGTGTGGACACCAGTCCGACGTCGCGCCAGTTTCGGCATGCACGACATGCTGCTCATACGCGACCTCGCGCTCGTCGGCTGTCGGCTGGGCTCCAAGAAAAAACCCAGGAGGGACCCAAGAGGGCCCCGAGAGAGTCTCAGTAGGGCCCCAAAAAAGTAGGAAATGCGGTCGTGTTTCCCCACATCGATTCGAGGTTCCTGGGGAGTTCTTGAAGACGTCTTGAATCCCTCCCTTCTCGTTCTCTCGCCCTCCCTCCTCATCTTCCCTCGTGTTCCCATTGTCGCGCGGTGCTATGCTTGGCCTTTCGTGTACGAAACAATCCACAGATTGTAATGCCATGTGCGGACAGTGTCCGGACTAGGCACCGAGGTCGGGGCACCGTCGAGTTGTCGAGCAGCGGTCGTGCACAGAGACCGAATCCACAGATTGTACTGTCCGTTGCAGACAACACTTTTTGGGAGGCCGTCCGTAGATTGTACCGTCAAGTGTGGACAGTACTGTCAGGTGCGGACAGATTGCCTGGGCCTGTGCGCACGCAGTCTGCGGACAAGGGGGCGCGCCCACAGGACAATCTGCGGACACGCATGTTGTCCGCAGATGGTCCTGCGGTCGTCGGGTGCACGCGCGCAGCATCCACACATCGGGGGTTGGGGCATCCGTATCGCCGGCGCCGAATCCACAGATCGACGGGAGGAATCGTGTCTGCGCGCGCCGAATTCACACTTCGAGCTTCTTGATAACCCCTTTCGGTTTTCTTAGGTCTCCAGACCCAGGCCACGTGGGAGGCCCCCGGGCTCCCAAGAGGTCACGGCCATCTCTGCACGTAGAACTGTCAAGATGTCTCGGACGAAGCGGGCCAGACCACTTCAGGTCAGAGCATATCTGGGAAGAAAAAGCGAAGGGATCTTTGGCGAAACACGGACTGGACCACCTCGGGTCAGGGCGTATCAGAGCCCAGAGATGCGAGGATGTCTCAGGCGACACAAAGGCTGGACCACCTCGCAAGCGGCAGCTCCTCGTCGTGATGCTACACCTCCTCTGCCTCCTGCTCCTCCGCCGGCTGCGGCTGCTGCTGGTCCTCGTCCTTCTCCTCCTGGCTCATGAGGAGTAGCAGGAGAGGAAGAAAATGAGGGTCCCACGGAGCGGCGCCATAGACGCTCCTGACAAATACTACCATCGACGAATATGTCGCCCATGCGCCAGTTTGCAACATATTCGTGCCAACCGCGGGTAGGTCGAATGTTTCCGTTCGTTGACCGCGCGCCTCGGTGGATCTAGCTGCGCCGCGTCGGAAGCGCGCGCTGCGAAATCAGCGCTGCCACCTGTGGATTGTGGCGAGATCCAGGGGAGGGTTTGGGCGCAGGCGCGCCATTTCATGCAGGAGGTGCTGGATGACGCCAGCCCTGCGTCGCGGTAGCGTGTGATTGCGGCCGACTCCACATGAAAGAAATCGTCGTGCACCAAGATTGCCAGGCGGGCGCGTCGCCACTTGCCGAGCCGCTTGGCCCTCCAGCTTGTCCGCGGGACCAGATCCGAACATTACATGAATCTGCGGACTATGGCGGCTCGATATACACAAACCTTTTGAGAGCATGGCGAGCAGACCCAGAGAACAACCCAAGTGAGGATCAAGTCGGATGATTAGACATCGGGAAGATCTACGGGCCGACGGGTCTGAAAAGTGGATCGGACGCCGCGACCGCTCCGATCGGGAACGCTATGAGCGCGCTCCGGGACACCCTGGACGCCTGCGCGACAGAGGCTGCGCTAGGCAAGCCGCCCAGAGGTGGGGATAAGGGGTCTAGCGCCGACCCGAGAAGTCCGTGCGGAGCTCTAACAGAAACACGTCTTGTTTTTCGAGAGGCACCAATTGGATCGCGCTTTGGCATCCAGACCGCTCGGGCACGCATACGGATATGTTCGTCGCCACGGAGCCACCCCGAGGTGGGAAAAATGCTTCCAGCGCCGACTCAAGAAATTGTGCACGCGTTCTTCGAGAGGAATCCTTGGGGTCGCGCCTCGGTATCCAGACCATGCGGGCACGACTACGGATGTGTTCGTCGCTAGGGAGCCGCCCAGAGCTGGGGAATGTGTGTCAAGCGCTGGCTCAAGGATTTTTGCGCGGAGCTCCAGATTCTGGAGGAATCCAAGAGATCGTGCCTCGGCATCCATACCACGAGGGTACGAATACGCAGATGGTCGTCGACAGAGAGCCGCTCAAGGGTGGGGAAACAGGGTCCAGCGCCGACTCACAACTTTTTGCGTGGAGCTTCGGACATTAAGTAACGTATGCTCTTCGAACGTGGTCCATGCGATTACACCTCAGCATCTAGTCCACGAGGGCACGGCTAATGCTTGTCGACGGGGAGCCGCCAAGAGATGGGACAAACGGACCCAGCGACGACCCAAGAAATCAACGTTGAGCTTCGGGCGCGCATCATTGTTTGGCCACCGAGAGATATACATGGGATCGCGCCTCGGCATCCAGACCGCGACGGCACGGATGCGAACGGGCCCGTCACTCGCGCGGGGAGGGGGGACAGCGGACCAGCGCGATTCACAGGACAGACAAGGTCGCCCGAATTATTCGACGACGTCGACGTCGGACCCAAAGCCGCTCAGAGCAAATCCCTGGATCCATCCAAGGGTCGCTCCTGGGCAGCCTTCCGAGACGTGCCCAGCCGGGGCGACCAGGACCTCCAGACGCACAAGAACGACATCCAAGGTAGAAGCGAAGCGTCTTCGCCCAGAAGCGAGCCCCTCGGAAGCCGCGGGCGCCCGTGGCGCGCACATTGAGTATCGATTGACCGATCCCCATCCCCAGCGGCGTGGCCTGGGCCCCACTGGCCGATTTACCCCCCTAGGTGGGGATATCGGCCGTTCCCTTTGGGTTTCGAGGGGTATATCCCCAACTGGGGTGACAATTGGGTGGGGGTCTCGAAGGGGATGGGGATGGGGATGGGGATCGGTTAAAAGATACCGACACATGCAATCGGCCAGCGGCCTGATGCCCGAGAGAAGAACCGTGGGCGGACGTGCGCTGCCGCGCCGGCCTCAACGAAATCGACCCGAGGGGACTCGAGCAAAGGAAGCACTGGCCGTGAGAGTTCGGGCGCATGGCAACCGAAATAGGACCAGAGTGACGTCATGACGCGATTCGCTCAAGATACATCCCAGAAATGCCGGAGAATCTAGCGGCCCTCATTTCTGGAGTACGCACGGAACAATAGGAAATCCTGGTTATCTCGAACAGCATCATATCACTGCGTCTTGCTCCTCTGACTAACAAACCCTTGGCGAAAACATCGCCGTCGTCGACCCTCGCTGGGGGGACGAAAAAGTACAGATAACTACTGCCAATCCCCGGACCTCTCCAGGGGTGCGCTCTGGCAAGGCTCTCGATGCGAACCGAGCCGTGGCGACGCAAAAGTGGGCAGCGGTACCGGTATCTTATCGTCCTCTGAGGCGGAAGAGGGGGGGGCGACCAAGAGGGAGAGTCCAAAAGGGGGGCGCAAAACATGGCCGGCGGCATGTGCGCGGCCCAGGGGGGGGGGCCAGGGACGCATTGAAATAAGAAGAGGCGCCATGAAATCTGGGGAGATCTCATGGCCCCCGCCATGATATCCACCCCCCCTAGTCATCACCCCCCTCTTGGCCGCCCCCGAGAAGAGGAGGAGGGGCAGGGCGGACCAGCGCCACGCCGCACCCCAGCAGCGCCAGCCAGCTGGCGCTGCTCAGCGCCCAACCGGCGGCCCGCAGCGCCGCGCCCCCCGCCGCGGCGTCCTCGGACGCGGGCCCGGCGTCCTCGAGGGGTCGGCGCGGCGACCCGGGCTGGAGGGAAAGAACACGGTGACCATGACCAACACGTCGGTGTCGATCTTGGTAACCGTCCAGCCCCAAGATGCCCCCACGAGGCTTCCAAGCGGCCCCCAAGAGCTTCCCAAGAGGCCCCCAAACTACCCCCGAGGCCCCCGAGAGCGCTCGTCGTCGTCGTCGCCATTCAGGGTCGGCGGCACCGGCCGTAGAGCCTTCGCAATAAAACGGTGACCATGACCAACACGTCGGTGTCGATCTTGGTCACCGTCCACCTTGGTCACCGTCAATTCGTGGATGGTCCTCAGCCATGAGGGGAGTGGCTGAACCCCGTCAGCGCCCATCCCCGTTAGGAGACCCCGACCTCCTCCTCCTCCTCCTCCTCATGGCGATCAACCTTCGTTCTGACTTCTTGCGATGCGCTGCATGCCTGGAGCCCCGCCACAAAAAATATACACAGACACCCTCCCATGGATTGTTCCAGGGCCTCCGGGGAGGGAGACGGTGTATCAATCGCCATTGAGAGCCAGCGACTCTTTTTCAACGCCACCCCTTCTGAAGAAACATGCCAAGTTTGTCGGAGGGCGTCCGTGTATATATTTTCCTGGCGGAGGGACCCCACCCCCCCAGTCAGAAAGGGTCCTGGTGCACGGCTTCCCCCGAGGCCGTTGGCGACCCGAGGAGGAGGAGGGGAGGAGGAGGAGGAGGAGGAGGAGGAGGAGGAGGAGGAGGAGGAGGAGGAGGAGGAGGAGGAGGAAGAGGAGAGGGAGGAGGAGGAGGAGGAGGAGGAGGAGGAGGAGGAGGACGGGTCGCCCAAGCCCTTCGGAGAAACCCTCAGGGTCCTGGTCCCTGGCCGCCGCGGCGCCGCCCGAGGCGGCGGCGGCGCACGCCTCGGCCGCCGGTGCGCTTGCCGCCGCCCGCTGCGCCGCTGCCGCGGCGGCGGCGGCCTCGGCTCGGGGCCCGTGGCGGGTGGGGGGCAGCAAAGGCCGGGGCCGCAGAGGGGGAATACCGAATGGGGGGGGGGAGCAAAGGGGGCGAATAATGACGGGGGGGGGACGAATCAACTACTGTGCAGTCATCGGCCTGACCTCAGGAACGATAACAGCTCAGGAACGAAGCCCCTGTTTTTCCAAGGAGCAACGCCTAAGAAACGGTATATATATACACACACATACATAGTAAAAAAAAACGCATGCGGAACGAGAAATAACGCATGCAAACCTAAGGAACGACCGAGCCCCTTTTGAAAAGTAAGTGTTCCTTTTTCAAGCCGCTCACTGTACTTGGCTTTTTCCGCGCCGCAGGCGCCAATGCACTGAGGAGAGAACCTGGCGACAGAGCCGAAACCGGCCGCCTGGACAGAGTTCGCACCCACACCCTCTTCCCCCCCCCCCATCCGTCCGTCCTGGTCGGCGCGGGCCGCAGGCTCTGGCGCCGGGCGCGCGCGCGCGCGCCTTCCCCGAGTCGCAATTTCTGTTCACGCGCCCGGCGTTTGCACCTCGGTGTCTGGCGCTGGGCCTGCGAGCTGGCCCGAGAGGGCCTCGGGAGAAACCCAAGACGGCCTTCGAGAGCCGTTCGACTTCCAGGAATGCCCAAAGACGGCCCCACGAAGTCCGCAAGAGACACACCCTAGGCGGCCAACAGGGCCCCGGGATGGCCCAAGAGACCCCAAGGGCCCAAAGACGGCTCAAAGTGACCCAAGGGACCCCCCAGACTCCCCCCGGGTCCCCCGCATGAGCCCAAGACAGCCCCAAGACAGCCCGAAACATCTCCAAGAAAGCTCCTCAAGAAATGTGATGGTGATCCTCTGTCTCCTCCTCGTTATCACTAGCATCATCATCATCATCATCATCATCATCATCATCATCATCACCACCACCATGTGCATCGCGACTACCACAATGACCATCAACATCATCAACATGATCATTATCAATACCATTACTTGATTCTTAAGTAAACCTGACCAGCCACCATCCCGTCTCGTCTTATCATCCTCCATCTCATCATCCTCGTCCTCTTTGTCCGACTCCTCATCATCAAAATATCATCTTCGTATTCACGTCAAATGCCGACACGACGCTGAAGAGCATGTCACACGTTAAAACTACCCAAAGCCTGGGAACACGAGGCATCACGTGTTACGGCTTTCGGACAAGCGCCACCCAAAGTGTTGCGCTGGCACGGTGGCGGGACCTGCCGCATTCAACTGGATTGATCTTCGCCGATTGACGCGCCAATTGAGCACATACTGCACAAGACGGAAGCAGTGCTGCTGTGTATAACTATACCAGGTGAAACCACGTGAGTCGCCAAACGCGGCAGTCTCTGCGGCACCTGCCAACCAAATCATTGGCAATCCTTGGCCATCAGGGCCTGTCTGGGTAGGGCAAGAATGCAAAACACGCAGCATCAATGACACGCGCACCAGCTTCCTGGTGGGCGCCCCTAAACTGGTGGTCGCAGAAAGGGCGGAGACAACTAAAAGCTTGAGCAGAGACTCTATGACGCACGCGCCGCTGCCCCAGCTTCGCTCCCTCGCTTCAAAAACCCACCGTGCCCACATGCGCGGACCGCACTCCTCCACTGTGCATGTGCTCATCGTCCAAGCTGTGGCGTCTGGCCATCACTCAGAAGTTGCCACTGCAACTGACAGCTCGGAGGGCAGAACACGTCTGCTCGCTTTCTTTTCAGGCAAGTTGAGCAGAGACGTATGCTTGGCACAAACCGTTGGGGGATTCATTACGTCTTTGTGGCCGTCTTTCCCCAGCGGACCTCCGACGGCAAACCCTGCGTGCCGTCAATGATTCATGTGAAAATTCAAATGCCGGAGGCGACTTTGCGTGCGTCCATGAACTACGTTCAGCTCAACTTTTCGGAACAGAAGCCCCGAAGCGAGTCACTCTGAGCCTTGCCATCAAGTTGCGTCACGCTGTAACGATACCCTCCAACTTGGTTTGCCTCTGCCCAAGACCCCGTGACATTCACTTATGCGAATTACATCTCCGTGTAAGATCCGCTCCATCCGTGCGCATCGGCCTGCACGCGAAGCAAGGCGTCTGCAGCGTCCATTCCACAAGGGACGCCGATCAGAACATGCTGGCCTAGCTTCATCGGGTCTTACCGCCCGCCATGGGCGTTTTGAAGGTGCGGGTCGCCAGTGGCAGCAACGCCGGCGCGGCCCATGGCTCTCGCCATGCGAATGGAAAACAGAAATGTCGGATGTGGCGTCGGCAAATCCGGAGGATCCGTCGGTCTGGGTGTCGGGCTGGGCGTCAGGAAGGCCGTCACGCCGTCGGGTAGAAGCCGTCGGGACGGCCGTCGACACGAACGTCGGGAAGGCAATCGGTAAGACGCTTAGGAAGGCCGTCGGGTAGGAATTCGGAAATGCTGTTGGGAGAAGAGCTTGAAAGGACGTCGGGAAGGCTGTCGGGTAGGGCGCCGGGTAGGGCGTCGGGTTGGGCGTCGGGTGGGGCGTCGGGTGGGGCGTCGTGATGGGCCTCGGTCAGGTAGGGCGACGGGTTGGACGTCGGGTGGGGTGTCGGATAGGGCGGCGGGTATGGCGTCGGGCATGGCGTCGGGCAGGGCGTCGGGCAGGGCGTCGGCCAGGGCGTCGGGTAGGGCGTCGGGTAGGGCGTCGGGTAGGGCGGGGGTTGGGCGTCACCTGCGCGTACTCAATGTCCGCCGATCTCCAACCTGGAAATACAGTAAGTGCTCGCGGAATGACTCGGACTAGTGGAGTTGCACCCCAATTCCGATTCGGGATGCCACTCGGGTAATCTGCGCTCGAGGCGGTGCACGCGAGGCAGATGTCGCAACGGCAATCCGTTGGCGCTCGGCAGGTTCCTGAAGCGGTCGTGCCTAACAACGTCATTGGCATAATCCCAGAACTGCACTTAGCTTCGTATGCCGTTACTGTCCACCTGGTGACCGTGCCCGAGTTGCCGCCACCGAACTGCACATTGGTCCACGCCACATCGTAGCTGCCGCCATGATCGAGGCACATGTATCCTGATCTGGCACAAAGCGTCCAGTGACCCGAGGTAGCATATACAATGAATGGGTTTTGAGTCTGGCGTGACTGTGTTATGATACTCTCTGTTCGAAGGATACCACAATTCGCAACGTGCACACGCTCCTGAGTTTGGGGGTCTCACCGAGGAGGCGGAGGAGGAGGAGGAGGAGGAGCAGGATCGCCTCTTCCCCCCCATCTCTCATGTCTCTCCGTCTATGTCTCTCTCTCTCTCTCTCTCGCGCTCACCCTCTCTCTTCGCCCTGGATGGACCCCAAGAGGGTCCCCAACGCGGGTCCCATGCCAAAAACTTCCCGCCCACAATTTCGACCCCTTGGGATCGGAGGACCCCAGTGAGCTTGAATACATGGGGGTGGATCAACTCTCGCCAGCCATCGAGGAAGCGGAGGCCTACGCCGGACATGCGTCCGAGATCAATGTGTGAGGATCATGAAGCAAAGCGTGGCTCAGGTCCGAGCCTGGCATTCAGAGTGCTCCAGAGCAGCATCCGTGCTCCCCACCCCAACAAACGGGGGGAAACCCCTCCCCCTCCTCCCCCCTTCCTCTCCCTCCTCCCCCCTCCTTCCCCCTCCTCCCCCTCCTCCCCCTCTTCCCCCCTCCTCCCCGCTCCTCCCCCCTCCTCCCCCTCTGCCCCCTCCGAAAGACTGTCCTGGCCCTCCCAGCAGGCCTCCCGCCCGCCGATCGACACGTAGGACTGGGCACCCCGGCATTGTTCCACTGGCTAGGTGGCCCTGCAGCGGCTCGCATCTCTTGTTCTCGCGCGAACACAACAGGGCATTGAAGAGCCGCTGTTGAATCCCACCAGCCCTCTGGGCGTCGGTGGTTTAGAGCGTTTCCTCTTCCACCCCTCCTTCTTCCCCTTCGGGGAGGGGTTTACCCCTCCCCCTACCCCCTCCCCACTGACCTGGACAGGGGGGGCCGCGGGTAGTTAGAGCGTCCAAGACGGCCCAACACGGCTCCAAGAGGGCCTCAGGGAGCTCAAGATGACCTCCAAGATGGCTCAAGATAGCGCAAGATGCCTCAAGATGGTCCCCATGATGTTCCAAGACGCTCCAAGAACTCCCCAAGACGGTTCCAAGTGCCCACAAGAGCATCATTAGGATGCATCCAAGAAGCCAAAATGCTTCAAAACCATTGAAAATTTAATGTTTTCGGTGTTCTCACTTTTTCGCTTGCGATGCACATCCGACGCGTCAAGATGGCTCCAAGATGGCTCAAGATAGCTCCAAGAGGGGCCCAAGAGAGCCTCAGGATGGCTCCAAGAGCGGCCACGAGCGCTCCAAGAGCGATCCAAGAGAGGTCCAGGAAGCGATTTTTGGAGCTCCTGGGGGGGGGCTGTAATTAGGGAACCCCACTTCCTTGGCCGATGTCCTCCAAAATTGCCCCAAGAGCGCCCCAGCAGGGCCTTCAAGGGCGCCCAGACGGGTCCAAGAGGAGCCCAAGCCTCCCAAAACAGCTTCCCAAGAGACCCCCAAGAAACCTCAAGAGGCCCCCAAAGGCCCCAAGATGGCCCCAAGAGGCCCCAAGAGGCCCCCAGGAGGCCCCAAAGAGGATCCCGAACGGCCCACAGAGGCCCCCCCGAGGCACCCAAGACGCCGACAAGCCCCTCAGGACGACCCTCTACTCGCCTGGGCGTCGTTTCTGGACGGGCTGGTGGGGATACGCGAAGCGTCTAGAATTCAGAAGACGTTTTTTTGAATTCAAAAGCCAGTTTTGAATTCAGAAAAAACAATTTTTTGGATTCGAAAACCAGTTGTTTGAATTCCCCCCCCGGACTCACTAGGAAGCTATCCGAAGGCCGTGCTGTCCACAGGGGGTCTCCATCGTATGCTGACGAGTCAGACGCAAATCATCGAAGGGAATGCTGCCGCTGGCCCACCACGCTGCATGCTTCACAAGTGCTCAGCCTGCGGTAATTCCTGCCACACCGTACATTACACCTCCTCTGTACGCATCCAAGCATAACCTAGCCTCGCATAACATGGTGTTGGCGTTCATAATTCTCGAGCCCGTACCCTGCACTGACATGTCCTACGAGGCCATACGCCTGCTTGTTGAGTATCACGTTTAGTAGTGAGACGCAGCGCCATATAACGCCCCGAGACACCAAGCAATATAAGCTGATCCAGCATTACCCGACCTCAGCGACTCTAGCCAGGCACATTCGGACCGAGGCGAACACTAGCAATAACCACAATCTAATCAGTACTACACGGATTTACCCTCAAATGATATACTTAACTGATCGCCTTAGTATTGTGTTGACGTGTCGTGATATGCGTGTATGTCATATACGCTAACCTTCGTCGACCCAGCTTCACTCAGTTCCACTACCCTGACGCGACCTGGCACTGCCCCACCTGGCGCCACTTTGCTGTGCTCTGTCATACTTGAAGTGCCTATGCCTAGAGGAAAAACAACTATGCACATACACCGATTCTGGCCAGGCCCATCCTGAGCCCAGGATCGGTGCATACGCCCTTCTACCATGGCCAGGAAGACATATGCACCGATCCTGGCTCAAGGATGGGCCTTGCCAGGATCGTTGCATGTGCATAGTTCTTTTCGCCCGATATGCCGCTCACGTTCTACTCGAGTCACTCCTGGGGCCACTTCGGCCAGCGGGGCAAGCTTCGGGCACGGCAGTGCGCGCGGGGCCTCGTCCACGGCGGCCGCGCCTGCGCCATCGGGTGCTCGGCGATCCTGACCTTCCGAGGGCTCTGACACGACCGTGACCCCAGGGGCCCCATGATCGTTGGCCTGCTTCAGGTTGCCGATCTCTGAAAGAAGGGGACGGGCGCCCAACCGCCGACGACACGCCTCGTCCGAGCAAGCCCCCACATAAAGCCAACACTACTTCCCGCGCTTCCGCTGCCGTCCTCTACTGTGTCAACATGACTCTGTCAGAAACATCGACGGACAAAAAGGAAGCCAACATTGGCATGAAGACAGCGCGTCCTGAGAGAAACATTTCCTGGACCCTGGGCCTGCCTGTGGGACCACCTCCTCCTCGTGAGCAGTTCGTCGACAGGCCGGTCGAGAGCCCTGGGAGCCGAAAGCTGCCCAAAACTTCAAGCATGAGTATCGTTTGACCGATCCCCATCCCAGCGGCGTGGCCTGGGAACCACTGGCCGATTTACCCCTTAGATGGGGATAGGCCGTTCCCCTGCGGTTTCGATGGCTGTATCCCCAACTGGGGGGTAATTTGGTGGGGGTCTCGAAGGGGATGGGGCCACGAAACGCTGCCCTGGGTGGGGGAACCGCATGCGGACACCCCCACTGGGGCCTACGGTGGAGCTCCCCATGAGGCCACGAAACGCTGCCCTGGGTGGGGGAACCGCATGCGGACACCCCCACTGCGGCCATCGGCGGAGCAGCCTATGGGGACATGAAACGCTACCCTGGGTGGGGGAACCGCATGCGAACCCCCCACTGGGGCCATCGGCGGAGCTCCCTATGGGGCCACGAAACGCTGCCCTGGGTGGGGGAACCGCATGCGGACACCCCCACTGGGGCCTACGGTGGAACTCCCTATGGGGCCACGAAACGCTGCCCTGGGTGGGGGAACCGCATGCGGACACCCCCCTTGGGGCCTTCGGTGGAGCTCCCTATGGGGCTACGAAACGCTGCCCTGGGTGGGGGAAACGCATGCGGACAGGAGGAGGGGGGGGGGGGAATAGGAGGAGGGAGGAGGAAGGAAGGAGGGAGACGCGGGGCGCTGTCTCTTCAAAACGAGGACCCAACACCACAGGATGGTTGGGAAACACACCAACTGTACAGCAGACCTGACTTAGTGATTCTGGCCATTCTAGGAGCTCTGGGGCCCTACTACTAACCGGGTCCTTTTACCTGGGGTCCTGGCTATACCCGACCTATCGGCGATGAACGGACGCTTGGGAGGAGGAGGAGGAGGAGGAGGAGGAGGAGGAGGAGGAGGAGAAAGAGGAGGAGGGAGACGACGACGACGACGACGACGACGACGACGACGACGACGACGGACGACGACGACGACGACGACGACGACGACGACGACGACGACGACGACGACGACGACGACGACGACGACGACGACGACGACGACGCCGACCCGCGGCCCGTCGGCCGCGGCCGCCGCCGCCGCGGCGCCGCCCGCCGGCGCGGGGGCCGCCGCGGCTGCCGGCGCGGGCGCCGGCTGCTCGGCCGGGGGCGGCGGCAGGGCGGCCGCCCGGGGCCGGCGGCTCCTGGGCAGGCCCCGGGCGTGTGCGCTCGGGAGTGCTGTGGAAAGCGACGGCGAGCGTCAGCTCCCTGCCTGCGTCGCCAGGAGCAGCCCGCAGCTTCTGACGGGTACCCTCACGCACCTCGTGCCAGGGCTCCCTCCACTCTGGGATGGCTTTGGTCCTGGGTTGTCGGATTCGCCGTGGGTCCCGAGGCCTTCGGCGAGGGGGTTCGCCTTCGGCGTCCGCTCGGGAGCGTGTGGAAAGCGACGACGACCGTCGCCCCTGCCTCGGCGGCGAGCCCAGGGGGGGAGGTGAGAAGGGGCGGGCCTCCTCAGAAGGCTCGGAAGTCCCCTGGCCTTCTCAAACATTTTCCAAGCCTTCCCTGGAGACCAACAAAAAAAATCTCAGAAGGCGCGAGGGCTTCTGAGAAGTCCCGCCACCTTCTGAGAAGGCCTTCTCCTTCTCATTTCGCCCCCCCTCGCTCGCGGCCGAGTGTGGACAGCCACGTCGAGTGTCCCCCCTGTCGGCGTGAAGTGCGAAAGAATCGACAAACCCAAACCCCCTCGAATCATGACAAAAACACGACGGACGATTTTTCATTACTTTCGGACTCTGGGGGCCCTTACCGGGCCTCAGGACCGGCAAAAAACGACTCGGGATGAGAAACCGGTCCTGGGGAATGGGTCGAAAACTCTGGGATTCAACGTCAAGAAAGCAGCGACGAGTGTCGCCCCTGTCTCGGCGGCGAGCGAGGGGGCGAAATGAAAAGGAGCAGGCCTTCTCAGAAGGCGGCGGGACTTCTCAGAGGCCCTTGCGCCTTCTGAGAAGTTGTTTCTTGCCTTCGGGGAAGGCTTAGGAAACTTCTCGGAAGGCTTTGGAGACTTCCGAGCCTTCTGAGAGGGCCTTCTCCTTCTCGCTCCCCCCCCCTCGCTCGCCGCCGAGTGGAAATCGACGACGAGTGTCCCCCCCCTGTCAGCGTGAATGAAGGGGCTTCCCCCCACTTCCCCCATATTTTCCCACATCGTCCTGGGGATCGATTCCATTGTGTCTGTGTGCGGTTTCCCCTCCTGAGTGACGTGCGGAAGAATCGGCACAGGATCTGCGCCATGCCCGCACGCCTCCTCCTCCTCCTCCTCCTCCTCCTCCTCCTCCTCCTCCTCCTGGAACCCTCCTCCTCCTAAGCTTCCTCGATGCCCCGTGCCGAAACAGTCGAGGCGCCGACGCCGAAGGCGAGCCCCCTCGCCGAGGGCCTCGGGACCCACGGCGGTGACTGATCCGACAGCTCGAAGGGTTGCAACAAAAACCCTGGATTGCAATCCAGGTTTTTTTTGCAACCCAGGGTTTTTTTGCAATCCAGGGTTTTTTTGCAATCCTTCGACCTATTCCAGGACTAAAGCCACCCCTAACGTGAAGAGAGCCCTAAGCTTTTGAGAAGGCCAGGGGACTTCCGAGCCTTCTGAGGAGGCCCGCCCCTTCTCACCTCCCCCCCTGGGCTCGCCGCCGAGGCAGGGGCGACGGTCGTCGTCGCTTTCCACACGCTCCCGAGCGGACGCCGAAGGCGAACCCCCTCGCCGAAGGCCTCGGGACCCACGGCGATGACTTGTCCGACAACCCAGGACCAAAACCATCCCAGAGTGGAGGGAGTCGTGGCACGAGGTGCGTGAGGGTACCCGTCAGAAGCTGCGGGCTGCTCCTGGCGATGCAGACAGGGAGCTGACGTCCTGTGACTTCAGCGGGAGGTGGGTACGGATGCAGCCTTAGGTCGGGCGTGTCCTCCTACAGGCGGATCTAGGAGATAACGTGAACATATAACAAATAGCCCAAACGGCTTCAAAACAACGGTAAAATAATCGTCCCCAGACTATGTTTGACTATATTAAAAAGAATCGTCCCCAGACTATGTTTGACTATTTTTGAATATTCCTCCTGTACAGGGACGTGCCCGACTTAAATGTAGCTGGATAACTGTAGCTTGGCCCCACGGGGCCCGAGGATGCCCGTATCCGGCGCCTGCCCAGGACCCCACAGATCGATCCCCCGGGCGGTGGTCTTGGACAAATCTTCGCCTCGGACTCCGGCCCGATTCGGGCGCTCCCTTTCGCCTTCGGTCGGGCATGTCCCCCGACAGGCGGATTTTGGAGGAAAAATGAATCATGCACTGCGTGGAGCTCCCCATCTGCGCATCTCTTTATTGGCATTTCCGCCGTGAATGTCTAGGCGCAAGAAACTTCGAATATAAACGAGCTTGGATATTGACAGCCTGGGAGAGAGTCTAACTGTGAATGACTTTGAGTGCGTATGAGCCCCACTAGTACGAGTGAGTCTATGCGCGTGAGCCTGCGCATGGCTAAGCTTAGGGTGAAAGTGTCTGCACGTCAGTGGCCTAAGAATGACTGAGCGTGACTGAATCCTCCTGGGGTCTCTTGGGGTTTCCTGGGGCTTCCTCAAGTCTCCTGGGGCTCCTAGGGCCTCCTGGGGCCTCTTGGGGCTTCCTGGGGCTTCCTGGAGCCTCTTGGAACTCCTGGGGCCTCCTGCGGCTTTCTGGAGCCTCCAGGGGCCTCTTGGGGACTCCTGGGGCCTCCTGGGGCCCCTTGGGGACTGCTCCTCTGTGTGCCTCCTGGGGCTTCCTGAAGCCTCTTGGGGCTTCCGTGGGCCTTCCTGGCGCTTCCTGGGGGCTGAGCCTCCCGAAACCTCCTGGGTCCTTCCTGGCGTTTCCGGGGGGCTTCCTCGGGCCTCTTGACGCCTCCTGGTACCTCTTAGGGCTTCCTGCGGCTTCCTGCAGTCTCCTGGGACCTTCTGGGGCCTCCTGGGGCCTCCTGGGCCTGCCTGGAGCCTCCTGGGGAGGATTCGTGTCCCCCGGAAGAGGCCCAGTATATTAGGAACCTATGTAAAACACTTAGGATTGGAACCGCAGGAGAAGGACAAGAAATAGGAACACACGTAAGACACCAAAGACTCGTGCCCCGCAGGACGCCCAATCTATAGGAACATGCGAAAAACACCTCGGATTGGAGCCTCAAGAGAAGGACAATCTATAGGAACATGCGAGAAACACAAAAAGGATTCGTGCCCCACGAGAGGCCTGATCTATAGGAGCAGAAAAAGCACACATAGGATTGGAACCGCTCCTGGGGCCTCCTGGGGCCTCTTGGGGCCTCCTGGGGCCTTTTGGGGCCTCCAGGGGCATCCTGGCGCTTCCTGTGGCTGGGACCTCCTGGGGCCTCCTGGAACTTCCTGTGGTTTCTGGAGCTTCGGGGGGAAACCTCTTTATGGCATTATGGGGCTTCCTGGGGCTTCCAGGAGCATCCTGGGGTTTCCTGTGGATTCCTCGAGACGCTTGAAGCTTCCTGGGAGCTCCTGGAGCCCTTTGGAGCATCCTTGGTCCTCTTGGGGTTTCCTGTTGTCTCCTGAAGCCTCCTGGGGCCTCCTGTGGCCTCCTTGGGCGGGCCTCCTGGGGAGGATCCGCCCACGATTCGGGTCGCCAGAGCAAGCAGACCGCTCATGACATCCTC